ACAAAAACCAAAAAAACAATGCCCCCAGGGATCCCACCAGTGACTGGGGAAGTGGCTCCCAGGCCTCATTGCACAACCCATCTAGAAGGGGCAGAGATGGCACACACTGGCAGGTATTCAGGGGACAGGAAAGTAAAGAAAGCAGACAGAGATAAGAAACTGAGAAATGAAGAAAAAATAAAGGAAAAGAGAAAAAATAAATAAATAAAAAAGAAAGAAAAAAAGAAAAGCCCCCCCACAGGGATCCCACTGGCATGGCTGCACAAATGGGGAAGTGGCTCCCAAGCACCACAGTATAACCCAGCTAACAGGGGCAGAGACACTACACAGTGCCAGGTATTCAGGAGACAGGAAAAGAAAGTAAGTATAGAGAGATGAGAAACTGAGAAATGAAGAAAGACAAAAAGGAAAAAGAAGAAGAAAAAAAAAAGCCACCAGGGATCACACCAGCATGGCTGTGCAGACCAGGGAAGTGGCTTCCAAACCATGCAGTACAGCTCAGCTACAAGGGGCTCCCAAGCCTCAAAAAGAAAAAGAAAACAAACAAAAAACAAAACAAAACAAAATCAAACAACAACACAAACAAAAAGTCCCCGGGGATCCCACCATCGTGGTGGTGCAGACTGGGGTAGCAGTTCCCCAGCCGAGCAGCACTTCACAGCCTGTCAAGAAGAAGCAAAGATGGCACATAGATCCAGGTATTCAAGAGAAAGGAAGGGGAGGAGGTGAGAAGCAGGGAAGAAACCAAAAGAAGCTGAAAAAAGCAACACCAGCAACAAAGAAATGGCACTGAAGGAGCCACCTGTGTGGGCAGGGTGAATCCAAGTGGCACGGAGCCAGCGCCTCCCGGCCTGCAAAGCAACCGCAGCCAGCTGGGAAGCAGTGGAGGCCGAGCAGGGAGAAGAAGGGTTGGGGGTGGGAAAGCGTATATCGCTGGTTACTGGGTGTTCTGTCTCCTGCTGGGAGCTCTGTGAAGCTGCTTTCCCGTACTCCCTGCCTGCAGATCTCTGACAGAAGTCTAAGATGGTGAATCTGTGCTGCATTAGCTGATAGGGGACCTCTGCTCATATCTCTCCTTGCTCCCTGTTTTCTGTCAGTTTCTTATTCCGTTCGGTGTTTGGCTGAGTTATCTCTTCATTGATGCTTAGGGTTCCAGGATTGACATTTGTCACTGTTTGACTTAGTTTTTCTGGTCTTTGCTGTGGAGGACGGCCTGGTGCTTCTGTCTATAGTGCCATGTTGGCTCTGCCTCTGGCTGTATTTTTTGAGGTTTCCTTCTAGCGTGATGAGCCAGGCTGAACAAGATCTCAGGGCTGAAGTTCAACTAAGAGTTTAAGGTTTAACTTCCTCCCTATTGAGAAAACAACTTCCAGATTTGTAGTGAAATAGACCTTGTCTTTCCCCCCTGGTTTGAGCTTATGGCCAGTGCCCAGGATCAGTCTGACAGTGCCCCTGTGTGGCTTATCAGTTAGGACTGACTCTTAGGGTGTTGGTGGTAAGGGGAAGCCCCCTGTCAAAATTACTGGTTTCCTACGCCTGTTCCATGTTGTTGTTGGGTGCTGTCGGGTCGATTCCAATTCATAGCAACTCCACAAGACAGAGCAGAACTGCCCCAGAGGGTTTTCTTGTCCGTAATCTTTTTTTTTTTTAAATATTTTATTTTATTTTTGGTGAAAATATACACAGCAAAACCTGCCCCCATTCAACAGTTTCTAGACAATGATCAGTCACACTGGTTATATTCTTCACATTGTGTCAACATTCTTGATATTTCTGTTCTAGTTGTTTGACTCCCATTGACTTAAACTCCCTGCCCCCCAACTTTCTTGTCTAGCTTAAAATAGCTGTTGTCCATTTGGTCTTACGTAGATAACTTTTTGAGACAGCGCAGTACTCAAGGGTGACAATCTTTACTTTTTGAACCAAATCATTACTTAGTTTAAAGGTGACTTCAGTGGATAGTTTCGATTCAAGGATTGAAGAGTAACTCAGGGCAATAGTCTTGGGGACTCCTCCAGCCTCGTTAGGTCCACTAAGTCTGATTCTTTAAGAATTCAAAGTTCTCTTCCACATTTTTCTCCCTTTCTATCAGGATCCATCTACTGTGTCCCTGAGCAGAACGTTCAGTAGTGGTTTGGCTGTAATCTTTATGGAAGGAAATCTCCAGGTCTTTCTTCCCCTAGAGCCTCTGAGTGGGTTTGAACTGCCAATCTTTTGGTTAGCAGCCAAGTGCTTAATGTTTGCACCACCAGGGTTCCTTATGCTTGTTCCCAGAGGAAATAGCAGCTGCACATTGTACTGGCATTTGGGAACAAACTCTTGACCAGAGTTGCATTTCCTGTTCAGTTGATGGGCAGGCTAAGGAAAGCATGATGTATAATATTCTGGTGACCTGCAGGGGTCAAGATGCCAAAACATTTTTCCAATCTCAAAGACATCTATCTGTTTGCTACCAGAAGGCGAGGACCCTGGCATGCGAGAATACCCTGGCTTTCCTTACCGCTAAATGAAAGAGCCTAGTGCTTCTTCCAGATTAAAGTTCTAGGAATTTACAAGTGTGAAAATCATTGTGACTATGTGGGTTGACAGTTGTAACCATTAAGATCTGACCAGATTTACTGGCCTGACAGAGACTGGAGAAACCCCGAGAGTATGGCCCCCGGATACCCTTTTGGCTCAGTGGTGAAGTCGCTCCCGAGGTTCACCATTCAGCCAGGGATTGGACAGCCCCATAAAACAAAATGGGACTAATGAGGAACAGCAGTCCAGGGACAAGGACTAGAAGGCAGGAGGGGACAGGAAAGCTGGTGATAGGGAACCCAAGGTTGAGAAGGGACAGTGTTGACATGTTGTGGAGTTGTTAACCATTGTCATAGGGCATATGTGTACTAACTGTTTAATGAGAAACTATTTCTTCTGTAAACCTTCATCTAAAATACAAAAAAA